GTTACCGTTGACTCCTGGCTGGTTGTTACTGCCGAAGTTGTCACCGCCGAAGTGGTCACTGTCGACTCCTGGCTGGTTGTCACCGCCGACTCCTTGCTACTTGGCTCTGTCGTCTTTTCCTCCTCTTTATCACCATATAGCGAGTTGACCGTCTTCAAGGCGCTCGCCTGCATCTCTGCTGCCGACTTGGTCCAGTATTCGAGGCCTTGGTACGCATACCCAAGCACTTTGATGTCGTTGACCGTGCTAGAGGTGTGCCACTCGCCATTGACCTGTCTAAATGGCTGCAAAGGCGAGTCCAGAGTGATCATTGTGCCTTCGGCACTGTTGAAGCGCGACTTGCCACTGTACGTGCCATTAAAGGTGGACTTTTCGGGATGTATGGACTGCCAGTATGCCCATAACCTATCAACGTTCGCGTGATGCAGCATGCTAGTAAATTGGTCAGTACAGGTTCAACTGTAGCGAGGAAGGACCTTGGAGTACATACAAGAGAGGGTCGAAAGCAGAATACTCCGAGTCTATGAATTGGCCGGCGCAGCCAGCATCCAGGTGAACAGAATTGTGGACGCCCTCGACGCTATTGCCAACCGCCGAATACGTGCTAAAGTCGGAAAACGACTTCGCCCGTACAAACGCATCAAACTGTAGATAATTCAGGTCACTAGATGAAATAGGATGACTTGATCCATACACTGCTTACCAGACTAGCCTTTAAGTTGCTGTTGTGGAGATTATTGTTCGCCTGCGTCGTGGTGCTGCACCTGTATACGCGCTCGCCCGGCTGAAACTGTCCGAATTTGCCGTTTAATGTTTCTTTGGGGAAGATGTACGTGTACAGCGGATTGACGATGTCTTTTGCGACAACGCCAGTCTCTGTAGCAACCTTGGCTGTGATCGTCTCGGGGAGTATAACGCTGGGGAGATCGGGCTCGAGGGCCCAGTCCCAGTACGGAGCCCTCAGATCGTCGGCCGCTTTTTGGTAAGTCGAGCGCACGTTTTCAGGATAGCCGGCGGCCAGACTCTTGGCTTGCTTGACTAGCACTTGCTATAAGCAAGATTGTTGGTCATTATGGCTCTCATGCGATGGACAAGCAGATGTGGGATGCATACCTCGAACAGCGAGACGTAAACTCGGTGCCAGACGATGAAGAGATTTTCCTGTATTTCTTGTGAGCATATTCAGAAAATCGGTGTCTGCATGGGTCAGACGTACTACATGAGCACTATAGCCCCCCCAACTAGTGGCGCTCGTCGCTCCCGCATTGTTATACTCGATGAACGGTCGGCCGTGTATACCTATAGCTGTATTAGACAAATCATCTCGTCAAGCACTCGGTCAGGACATACCTGCGATCTGGAAGAAGGACTCTGGGTGGCTCACATCACGGTCGCTCATGGATCGCAAAGCCTGGATGTAAAGATCCCTAGATGCCACATTGAATCAGTGCTCGCTCCATTTCCGTGTCTAATAGGGTCCGACTTGCCATTGTGGGCCAGCTTCCGCTGCCAGCTCCGTGATGCTTCGTCTCAGAGGAACTGGGCTGTCAGCCTTAGCGCTCGCCAAAACACCAACTATGGCTCCAGAAACGCCTTCGGTGATGGAATCAAGTGACGCCGCTGAGACTGTCGAGGTCAGGCTCAGAGCCAAGCCGAAAATACCCAATTGCAGCCGCATCTTGAAGTAGTACAAGACACCGCGATACGATCAGCAACGCTAAAGCATTTCAGACCGGCTGAAGCCTTTTAGATATACTCGACATTCTTCGAGCGCCCTCGCTCCGGCTGTCGTGACCGATCGGCTGCCGCTGGTCTGGATACCGTTGGCCGATGAGTTGGGCAGTGGGGTTGGACAGTGACCAGCATACTTCCGAAATTCCCATCGTTTTCTTGAACAGAGTGTGTTACGGGTAAATGGGGTTACATGACGTACAATGCCGATGCAACCGAAAGTCTTTGAGTCTGTACAACTCAGATGGGATCTAAAACACGACTACCCGAAGCTCTGATGAACAATGAGCTGCTGACTTTGCGCTAGCTTATCCGCAAGGCTACAAAAAACCACTAAACATGTCCACGGGTTCGTTACTTACTGTTATCCCTTACTTGGGTGAGATCGTTGTGGGATCCCGGTATCCACGATTTGTTTCTTCGCTTGGATAACTGATGCGTCCGAGTTATCACCGACCCTATAGCAACCTACTAATTATGCGCAGCCACGGAGGGAAAAGAAATACCTCGGTCATTTTAGGATATTGATTGATAGGACACTATTGGGAGCACGGCCCGCATAGCCCGTTGCGACACGACAGGCGTGCAGGACACTATTTGATCCATGCGGGTTCAGGTGTTTGTCTCCGTATCTGCGCTCCTCTGGTGCTCCCGTCTCCCGCATTTTAATATATTCCAAACACGCCGGGTCCGTGACAAGGCTAGCCTTAGCCAATGTTCAGACGATTGCAGGAACTAGGAGTTGGTGAAGGAAACAAGTCACGCGAGAAACGCAGACTTTTGACGATATCGTCTGAACTTGCATGGTGGAGCGCGCTAAAATTAGACAAGATATTGGATTCAAATTTATATTAAAAAAAATCAGGGCCTCGGGTATGCTATTCTTTGTGTTGATGGAATAGTTGAGAGTCTGAATCTAGAAGTCTACCTTTGTATTGGGTCTTGAAATCATCCACGCAATATTGGTGAGCATTTGGGCAGTCACAATGTCGCCGTCGCCAAAGAGATTCAGAATCTTTGTCTGTCGTAGCCTTACCCAGGGGTCATGAGTCTAATGTGTACAGTAATCCAACTCAAATACATTGCCTCGTTTCCATATGGCTGTGTCGCTCATTCAATTTTGAGGTTTTCGTGCAAGTTCCCGACTTGTGAAATCACAAGGCGTTGACTTATGACAGGCAAATATTAACCCTGACCTTTTGCCAATTTTGCCACAACTATTACTGTTCGATTAATATGAGGCCCACCATATTACTCTCAGGGCATATATTATATCCAAGTGCAAGGTTTTTTCCGCGTAGTTGTGAGTTAACTCTCACATGTCAAACTTGAAATGCTTCGAGTCAAGCGATCGGGTATTGAAACTGCTACCCTTGAGCGCCTCGGCCGAGTCAAAAAATGTGTCCGCTAGCCAGGACCAGAGAAAAAGTTTGACTTGGCGTAACCAGTCACATATGTGTAAGGGATCTAATAGCTCTTTGGCAAAATAAACTTCAATACTGATGGTGTTGACGTGACCGCCTAGCACCAGACTGCAAGTCAGAACTGGACGCATTCTGAGGGATGAGAATACGCCTTGCGACCGCAGTTATAGAACAGTATACAATAAAGATGCACCTGAGAGTTTATCTCGGCGTTGAGAATGAATTCTCGACCAAGATTATTGGGTTGTCAAAAACATGTTTGTTGGGCCGTGTTTCCCCACACTGTGTCAACTGTATCAGACGGACGAGCAAACGCCGCCCTACCAGCCCTAACATCGTCGAGCAAAAGTTGGCATTCTTGACGTGTCGATAAACTGTTCAATGTCTATCAAATTTATCCAGCTACAAGACAAATTCCGACCGACAAAGCCTGCGCCCAGATTTTGCGCGGTATGCGGATTCCAGGCAATGTCATTTCTGCTCGGACGCGTTAGCATGTCTCACATTAAGCATCAAGCTATGAGTGCATGATGGATTGTCTCTCCCTCCAGCCAGGCATCGTCCTCTCGCGGGCGATCCCTTTCTTGAACGCCCGCCACATTGGTCTGGTTTCCCAGCCCCATGTCTCACCTAGCCAGGTTCGCAAGCTTGTTTGTTGGTGCGCGCGGCGGCCAGACATGACTGAGGTCGATGCGCGCCATAACGCCGCCGATTTGCGCCGCCATTCGCATTTCTCCCTCTCCAGATCCCCTTTTTCTATCCGTATGACGACGGAGCTCGTTTCCTGCAGCGCAGCGATCTGCGCGTGGACCGCAAGTCGGCCCCAGTTGTGCTACATGCAAAACCTATAAAAGGCACCACAGTCCCACGAGTCGCATCCACCGCTGGCTCAAGCTTGCTCGACACTCTTTTGTACACCTGCCTCATCCTGTTGGACACGACACGCTGCACGACATGAAGACGACGACACTGACTGCCGCCCTGGCCCTGGCGACCACGGGTTACTCGGCCGCGCAATGGAGTCCCGTCTCCAGTGCTGCTACGGGTGCCAACGCAAGATTCTCTCTGCAGCAGATGTACAACGACAAGTTCAAAGGAGTCAACCCGACCGATGCTCTCTTGCGTGCGTACTCGCGTTACGCAACGTTTGTGCCCGACCACATCCAGGCCCTCGTTGATAAGGAGCCGTCGCTCAAGGCTACATTTCACGCCTTGTTCTCCGGTACAGAAACCCACGCTCTAAAAACGTATGTGATATCAGGGACTGTTTGCTAACGAATCCCTTGTGCAGATGATCCGGCTGGCAGCGTACACGCAGAAGCGGCACCCCCGTCAGATGTCGACTCTGAATACGTGCTTCCCGTATCTCTCGGCACACCACCCCAAATTCTGCCTCTAAATTTGGACACTGGCTCTTCAGACTTGTAAAAGTCCCCTTTTCCGTTCCGTACAGTTCACTGCCACGGTGACACTGGCTAACGCTGTGCGATAGCTGGGTCTTTTCCACAGCTACCCCTCAAGATGAGCTTCGGGGCCAGAAGATTTACTATCCTCAAAACTCAACAACCAGCAAGACGCTCCCAGGTGAGCACTGGAAGATTAGATACGGCGATAATTCAACCGCCAACGGCGATGTGTACATTGATCGCGCCGCTATTGGCCCCGTGGGCTTTGATAAGCAAGCCATCCAAGTCGCCACGGCCATCTCCAGTTCCATTGCCGAGGACGGCTTCTTTTCCGGCATCCTCGGCATGGCTAGCAGCTATGCCAACACAGTCAAGCCGACCAAGCAGGTGACCTTTTTGGACAACATCAAGGACACACTCGACGCGCCCGTCTTCACCGCCAACCTGCAAAAGGGCATGTCCGGCAACTACAACTTTGGGTACATTGACGCGTCCGAGCACACGGGCGACATTGCCTATACCCCCATCAACACCAACTCTTCATTCTGGGAGGTGGAGCTCAGTGGCTACCAGTTTGGCCAAGACGCCTTCAAGAATGAAAGAGTTGTTGGTATCGTGGACACGGGTACAACACTCTTGTTGTTCCCTCAGCATGTTGTTGATGAATACTACGGAAAATTGCCCGGCTCCTTCTTTGATAAACAGTCGGCCACCATGGTGTTCCCCTGCGACTTGACCCCGCCCGACTTCTTCTTCGGTGTCGGCAACGATTACCGCGGCCGCATCCCCGGGCACTACATGAACTACGCGCACCAGTCTGCCAAGTACTGCTACGGCGGTCTGCAGTCGGCCAAGGGTATCCCCTTTTGCATCTTTGGAGACATTCTACTCAAGGCGCAGTTTGTAGTCTTTGACCGCGGTAATCTGTCCGTCGGCTTTGCCAACAAAAAGACGGTTCCTGCTCCGCAGAGCTAGACGGTTCGACAGGTTGGTGTCCGGGCATGATGAAATGGGGAGCGGTGGCCGTTAAAAAGGAAATAGGCTAGCGATGCGCATTGTATACGAAAGCGATATATTCAAGTATCTACAGAATGGGCATTCTTCTTCCCTCTTGGAAGAACCCCCATCGACTTTTATACCAATAGACAATGGTTGCCCCGATATGCCTTTAACTCGGGCTAATGAAAATCCTGAAGAAGGAAAAATTTGAAGCGATCGCCGAATTTTGTTCCTCTTATAAAACATAGCGGCTGCATCATAGTTGTTAGTTGGAAGCAAGTTCTTCTACTGGGCAGGGTGACTTGCAATTTCAAGTTTTGTCTGTCAGTCAGGTCAAGCTGATTTCTGTCGACAACTTGTCTTTCCGTGGTGCCATCCGCCTTGACCGTCTCAATAATTCCGTTATCTTCGACGCTATTCTCCTGCTCCATCTTGTCGCGCCGTTTGTTTTCGCGATCTAGATAGATGCGGAGAATCAGGACAATAATGGCAGGAACAATTGCCGCCACAATGAGAAGAATGATCCATGTTGGGCGGTAGCGCGGCCGCCACTGCGGGCGGAAAAGCTGGGGCGAGATGATGTTGCCCAGGCCGTACGCGGCATGGTAGAGGGCAATGACGGTCGTCTTTTTCGTGTGGCCGGCCGAGGCATTCGCCGCCCAGATCATGACTACCGCATACGGCACACCGGTCGCGGAACGGATCCATATGCCGGTGATGAGTCCCCAGCGGTTATGCGAGGGGAGGCTGAGCAAGAGGACGCTCGAAAGGGCCGTCGGTATGTAGGCGAAGAGCGAGATCCACGCGCGGCTGTTTTTTGTATTATACAGTGCGATGGCAGCGAGCGCGAGGCAGGTAAAGTTCATGGCTCCTAGCACAGCGCCGAGAAGCGTCGTCTGCAAGACCGTGAAGCCAAAGGAATTGATGAGGAGCGAGTATTGGTTGGTGGTTCCGTTGGCCATTTCCTGTGTAAGCGCGTGTCCGGTAAAGAGCCACGTCTTGGGATCCTTGAGGGCTTCGACGAACTGTTCCCTCTTGAAGCGCTTCTGCTCAATGCCAGAATGATTCTCCTTGATTCGGAGGATAGCCTTGGCGCGCTCCTCGGGTGTCAAGAAAGAAGCGTACAAGGGACTGTCGGGAAGGAGGAGGTAGACGAAGACACCGAAAAGCATGGTCACCGCGCCGCAAAGGACTATGAGCATGTGAGCAAGTGTGTTTCTAGAGATGAACTTGCAGGTGTAGGCGGACACGTACACATGAGCCACTGCCATGGCGCAAAGTGGCCAGTGTGAATGTGCAAGACACCATAGGACAGCAGTCCAGAAGTGATTGGACTCCCGTTGCCGACGGACCACATGATGGGCATCAGCACGGCTTGCTCCTGGTATGTAAAAAACATGGACATGATGAGAAGAAACGAAGGCACAATGCAGGCCTCGAATACTCCCAACAAGAAGCGCACAACGAAAAGTGAGGCGAAATTCTTGCACGGGATATGGAGGAGTGTGATGCCGCCCCTTCAGTTGAATGTATGTAAGTGATTGGGTCCTCCCGCCAGTGTATGAAGGAGGACATACCAGATCACGAGATTACCCGCGAGCCATTTAGCGACGGGGAACCTCTGCAACGCCCAGTTTTGCGGAAATTCTGCCAGCATGTAGCCAAAGTAGAATATCGACGACAGCCAATTGTACTGGTTCGGGCTGAGGTTCGCGTCCTTTAAAATCCCAAGAACGGCTGAGCTGCCTAGCTAATAGAGTGACTTTTCATCAGTGTCTATTTTCAGTCATGAGACGCCAAAGACATACCGTTTGCTTGTCGAGAAACATGAGATGGTATCCGATGCACAGAAAGGGCAAGATGCGCCATATCAATTTGTTGCGGATCCTGATGGCTTCTTCCGGCGTCGGATCGGAGACGCTGACCTCGCTAAAGAGCTTGTAGCTCTCGTCAGCATATCGATCTGGCAGTTTCGGTGCATCTGCAGGAATTGAATCGTTGCTGTTGATGCTCGCTCGTGACACGACTCCTGCCTCGTAACGCGCATCTTTACCAAGAGTTTCCGGCATGACGGACTGTTACGGATTTTTAAGGCGCAATACAGAAGCTTGTTGTCTTGGCTGTGTCAAAAAACGTTATTAAATAAACGAAATTGCCATAAGAATCTCCCTTTCGTTATCTCAATGTAGGAACCTTTGTATCAGCTCAAGGACCCGGCCCTCGTCCGGTGTCGGAAACGGAATGACACTCAACGTACCTGGACTTGCGAATGAATTATCCACAAGCGTAGCTCCGCGGATACTGTCGTCTTTGGTGGGCATTAATTATCTGCTATGATTGTGAGGTGCGGATGCTCTATTGGTCGTTGCATCTCCATGCCGGCGCCTCGCGTCATACTTGCTCCGTTGACGTGCTGGGTATTGCTTACAAAACGGCGGAATATTGATCAATTGCCTTCCAAAAGGCGCCCGGCTATAGGAAATGGATACGTGTGGCTTTCAAACAGTGAGGAATATTGATCTTTGATTTGCTTTTCGATGGGCTGATTTTTTCACATCTTCGTTAGTAGCCTCGCGCCAGCGTCGAGGGAGGGGTGACTGGATGAGGTAACAAGGTTGCATTCCGACCTCGGTAGCCTTGTCAGTCAAATACAGCATCGAGAGCCTTGTCCCGGAAACGCTGCTCTCTTTCTCTGTTTTCACATTTCTTGCAAAAAATGGGAGGAGAAAACGAGCCATTTCGAGTACTCATTGCCGGGGCGGGCATCGGTGGTCTGGCGACGGCCATTTCACTCGCTCGTGTTTCCGGCATACCAAACCTTGCTATCGAGATATATGAACAAGCGCCAGAACTTGTTGAAATCGGCGCAAGCATTGCTTTGAGTCCAAATGTATGTTGCGTCTTTGGATCTGAAAACTAAAGACTGACTTGAACAAGGGTATGCGTACACTGGAACGGCTGGGGGTACATGACGCACTGAGTGACGATCTTGGCTTCAGAGGCCCCAGCGGAATTCCCCAGATCTTTCGGTATAAATAAAAGAAAATTCAGTTGCTCTTATGACCACATCTTCTAATCGTTCACAGGCATTGGAAGTCGAATCAAGTTGTTTCCGTCGACACGCACACAAATGTGCCGGATCAGCGCCACCAAACCACCAGGTTCCATCGCGGCCATTTGCACGCTGCGCTCCTCGCCCATGTCGACAGATCCTCCATTCATCTCAACAAGCGAGTGGTCCGAGCCGAGGCGGGTGAAGAGGAAGCCGTGCTGTTTTTTGAGGATGGCACCCAGGCCCATGGCGACATTCTGATTGCCGCTGATGGTATCCGATCGGTTTGTGGAACTCGGCGCGCGTTTGTTCAATATGGCGTCTAACGACCGTGCAGAAAGTCAGGCAGTCTCTCCTCCCGAACTATCACTTGAAGTTTACCGGCAAGGTGTTTGTACGATCGACATTTGCTGCCTCCCTGGTAGAGGCTGAAGTCCCCGACCTTCCACTCGATGCTATCCACTGGGTACGTCGAGCACTTAACCCTTGCAACACGCTATCAACAAGAGAAAGCTAATCGGACACAGTGGGGACCGAAAGATTCCTTCTTTGCTTCCAAGCTCGGTAAAGGTCAGTATACTACGGTGGGTGCCTACGAGGACACGCGAACTGGCGAGGAACTCGAGGAGGCCGTTGCCTGGAACCAGGCCGGCAACGTCGAGTCCTTTCGGGAAAGATACAAGGACTGGCACCCGGTCGTCAAGCGCCTCGCCGAGCTCACACCCAGTGTGCGCTTGTTCCCCAACTACGCGGGATCCGCCTTGTCCACCTGGCTGCCGGCACCGCGCGTCGCTCTTCTCGGAGACGCGGCCCATACCCACGGCGGCGCGTTTGCCGCCGGGGGCTCTCTGGCGCTGAATGATGCGCTCGCGCTTGGTCTGGCGCTCCGACATGCACTGGGCTCGAGAGCGGCGGCGACAGATTCGGGCCTGCGACTTGCTGAGATTCAACATGCTTTGACGCTGTATGATAGAACGCGACAGCCGCATGTCACGAAGCTGCTGGATATCATTCACGCTGCCCCTGCTCAGACTCGACCGGCGTTTGCATCTGCAGAGGCGGAGAATGAGGCCTTGATTGCGCGGTTCAAAAATCGGCCTGATCTTACGTGGCTGTCGGAGCATGATGTGGAGGCTGCATTTAAGAAGACAGTCGATGATCTTGGCGATGCCGAAACAAGCCACAAGTCTCAGATATCTAGGACGACATTGCCACAGTACGAGAGTAAACTCTGAACAGACGTCTCTGCTGTTGGATGGGCATTGAGTAACTAGAGAGGCAGGCTGCAGTTGGGTGCTGGAGAAGGACTGGACATGGAACAGGGAATGGGGCCAGGGGCATCTCATCGTCGATCATTCCGTTCTTGGCTACGATGTCAGGTACTAATAAGGGGGGAACCTTTTTTCGGAAGCGTTCTTGGCCGACACGTTTTCCTTGGCTTTCAGGGAGGACTCGATGAGCGAAGAGCAGGGTCGGCGCGGCAACCTCTCTCTCAGCTTGACTGGCACAAAGCAATTTGGGAACCTGCCAAAAATCACAGGGCAGCGTCAGCTTTTTTAGCTCGTGGCGCGATGGACGTTAATAATTTAGAACGAATGTGTGCAATAGCTCAGGATGAACCCTGCAATTAGGTAGTATCGCTATAAGGTCATTCGCTGTTACCGAACCCATCACATGCTAGTGCTCTGCACATGTGCGGCGACCAAGTGGCTTTCAGCAAGCCAAATACTTTCAGCAAGCCAAATACTTTCAGCAAGCCAAAGACTTTCAGCTATGTCACCGCTGCGGCGGCGGGCGGAGAAGCCCATGCACCATGCACAGTACACTCTCGTCGTGACCATACTTCCACCATGTTGCTTCACCGAGGCACTTGATTGCTTCGCAGCGCTACTCTCCATTATTATGACATTTTTTTCGTCGGGGTTCAGGGCTGTCCACGATACGCGAATCGCAGTGGCCAATGAGATGCTCGACATGCGCTGGCGAGCCCGGAGAGTTCAGCCCACAACCGCAACAGCCCCGGCCAGGACGGCAAAGGGTTTCGTTCTGGCCGGAGATTGGTCGCTAGGGTAGGGCGCCACCGTGCGGGGAGACGGCGCTGTAACTAGCGGGAGAAGAAAGCAATTGTGATGAACCATGCAGTTTATGTACATATGAAAATCGTTCTGATCATCAACGATAACTGACCACCCCTATTCAGCAAGGGAGGCAGCCCTCTGCTCAGACTTTCACAGTTTTCCTCTCATGTCACGTGAGACCAGTCTGGTACGTTTGGTCCGGGCCCGTTTGGTCCCTACTAAGTACACGCGCTTCGTTTGTCAACCCTGCAACGCAACAAACAGCCGACGAGTTATCCCGTCACGTCTTCCACCACCCGACACCTCAAAAACATCAAGACAATGATTTCGTCGCCTGACGGGCCCTGCTCGGCGTCACTTGATGCTCGCCTCCAAAAGGCCCGCCCGCAATGAGACGTTCAGGTGGGCGCCGTCGCCCTTTTTAGCGTGCACACCCCGTCTCCATCAGCCAGTCACGCTCCAAGAAGCATCCGACGTTGGGAGAGGCTGACCACCCGGACCCCTGGAACCAGCCAAGATGCTGCCCGCCATGAACCTGCAGGGTTTGATTAGGAGAACTTCTGCAATGGCGGCGCGCATTGGCACTTGTCGGTGCTTTGCCCAGCCAGATGCCATGGCGGAAAACAAGACGGTTCCCGCCCGTTCATGCGGCAGTGTCAGTCAGCCCCGTGGTTGCTTGGCGGTTCTTATATAGAGCGGCACACTTTGCACAGAGTGAGCAAGGCCGTCTCTTTGGCCATGTGATGCTTCAGTATCCCAAGCTGTGTAGCTGTCTATATACGGCTCACAATCACTCGGTTCTCGTTGGGGGATTTCGTTGCTTCTGATGAAGAATTGCCCGTTTTGATCTGAAGTACACCAACACCCACCATGAGATCTCTCGCGCTATCGGCGCTTGTCGCAAGTCTTTGGACCTTGACACTCGTCAACGGCCAGCAGGACCTCGCCCCCAGAGACGGCAGCTGCCGAAAGGAAGACCGAACCTACAGCGCCGAGGTGCCCCGAGCCGGCAGCTACCAGCCATGGACCCTCATCCCGTTTGGCAAGGTCGGGTTTCCAGCCAAGCAGTACATCACCATTGTCAACCTCACCCCCCACCGCTTCGTCCTGGATAAGGGCGCCACGCACTCGTACCAGATGGACGTGTTTGACTGGGACGACATCCCCCAGGGCCGTGCACGCCAGAACACTGCCACGTACACGTTCAAGGCGGGTAAGAACCCAGTCGACGACAATGGCGAGGCCTACTACTCCATACAGGGAACCAACAAAAAGTTCATGGTGCGCGCCACGACGCACATTCCCGACAGCTACCCCCGCCGCACTGTCTTTGACTTGAGCGGCATGGGCCTGGGCCAGCGTGAGTACTCTGATCCGGGCAAGGAGTCCCCCGTCACGCTCGTCATCACGGGCAGTGACTCGTATGGCTTCACGGCCTCGCTGCGACACGGCCCTGGCAACTGGATGAAGGGCATTTACAACGTCATCAAAGACCGCCAGGTCCAGCACTTGTTCCTCCCCGGTACCCATGATGCTGGTATGAGCCGGATCAGTGGCAATATTGCCTCCCTCGGCTCTTCTCCCAACACGCAGACCCAAGGCATCACGATATACGACCAACTGCGCGCCGGTTCACGTCTCTTTGATCTACGCGTGGGCACTGTTCATAACGCGACAGATACCAGCAGATACGGGTACTGGATACTCCATGTCAACAACGAGAGGGCCGACGTCGCCATCGGCAATTCTGGAGAAGCTCTCGACGAAGTCATTCGAGAAGTCAACCAGTTTACTGCAGAGAACCCTGGCGAGCTCGTCTTCTTCCGTGTTCGATACCTGATTGGCATCCGCAACATCCCCAGCTTTGGGCCAATTTACTGGACCACAGCCATGGTTAATGAATTCTTTGGGAAGCTTCGTGGTGTGAACAACCGCTGCGGTAATCTCGACACGGGTACCAAGTTCAACAAGCAAAAGGCGTCGTACTTTATGGATCAAAATGGAGGCAACGGTTGTGTCTTGTTCTTGCTCGACACTGCCAACTTGCAGGATGGTGTTCCTCATGACTCTATTGGAGACGGTATTTACAGGACTGAGATGTTGGAGGTTTGGGACAACTGGTCAAACCTGCCCGACACCGAAAAGGTCGCCAAGGACCAGACAACAAAGTGGATGACAGTCGGCCGGTCCGGCAACTTCAACAATGACCAATTCCTCATCGCCCAGTGGATCATCAGCGCCGACGTCCTCACCACCACGGCCCTCACCATTGAGCAGATGGCGATCCAACCCACGAACCCGGCCCTGTACTGGATGGGCCTCAACAACATGAGCCCCGAGACATTTCCGACCGTCGTGCTGGTTGACTACATTGGCGTCGTTGTTGACGGCCGCCACAGCTGGGATCAGCTGAGCGCCGAAATGTACACTCTCGCCATCGGGATGAACCTGTACATGATTAGCGAAAACTGTGACATCAGCCAGCAGCGGTCACCGCTGCTACCACAGGGCCAGGCTTTCATGCTCGGCATACAATCGGATTCCAAGCCAAGACAGAATATCCCCAGGTGGAATGGCATCATCTATGAAAACGGTACGGTTGTCAATAATCCGTGCAATGGCACTCACCCCGGTCGCGTAGCAATTTTGAAGAGCGGCACAGTCTTCCTCAACGGAACGGTCGTATTTCGAGACAGAGTCAACCCCGAGTTTAGGGCGGTCTAGTTGTGTTTCAAAGTCTCTTCGCATGGCGTTTTTATAAATACAGGTCCCGCATTTTGTGTAAATAGACGACTATGGCAGGCCATAGCCGATAAAAATATATGACCGAATCTATGCTCTTCCTCTAAAGTCCTCGCAATTGAAACGGTTACTTGGGGACGCCCAGTTGACGAAGCAGGCTGCAGAGTCCTTGGTCTGTCCAGTTGTCAATCTCAGCTTGCGACGATACAGCTATGTATCCCAGCATTCCCATGGCATTTGCTCCCGACTCGGCACGGACAGCAGGTCGACGGCGTGGGATCACAACGATCCACCTTGCAGTCATGACGATGTTGTGGGAGCAGACAGCTCCAGGAAAGTCGTCCGTGTCGTACTCCTGGCATGTCTCAGCCGCCGCGGTGGCTTGCTTCAGCAACCTCTGATAGGCATCGACAACGTGGTCCGCCGAGGCCAGGCCAGAATCTGCGAATCGGTGGTAAAACCAGCGGAAGGGAATTTCCGGCGCCGCGTCGTCCGCCGAGTCCAAAAAAGAAGCCAAGGTATGGGGAGGCATCGGCATCAGTTGCATGTGCTTGTGCAGCCGGCTGTATCCCGCCCCTTTGCCGCAGTTGAAAAACATGGCCAGGTTGTCGTTGCCCGGGCTGGAGAGCAGCGTGCAGGCGGCGGCGAGGTCGGATCGGTCGAGCCGCTCATACTGCCGCCGGTAGCCGTCCTTGGTCAGCAGCAAGTAGTGCGGCCGCGCGTAGCAGAATTTGTTGACGGCCAGGACGTGGGAAGCGCCGACGTCGCCAATCTCATAGCCACGGGTGTCGATGTCGCTGCCGGGGCGGCGCACGCTCGTTTCCACGAGTTCCTCGGTTTGTTGCTTCCCTGCGGTAGCCGCTGTTGGCTTCTTGCTGAGAGCTGCGGTGAGGACGAATTGGAACTAGCAGGCTGTCTGTCAATGGTTGCAACTTGGGCAGAAAGCGGAACATGGCACGGAAACGCACAGTGAAGCCGCCATCCTCTTCGCGTACGACGGTCTGGTTGTCGCCGTACAAGACCAGGCCCTCATTAACCAGGCGGTCAAATTCTGAGAGTAAAAATATGCGATCCATGAAGATTGACAACGAAGTTGGTAGTTGGGTCTTGAAGTGTTGGGGAAGACAGCCAGCTGGCAAGACTCCAGCCTGGTTACGTGTATGGTGACGCCATTGGTCGCCGTTTGCTATCAAGAACGATGGGGAAAAAGGCACAGCCGAGATGCATCAGGGAAATTTCCCAATCCGGTATTCTTTCTGGTTCTTGATGCTGTTTGGGCACGATAACTAATCGGGTTATTTTGTAAGTTGGGCCCTAATAAAGTGAATAAATGCAACGAGACCAGTGGTGGCGGAGCATCGGGGAACTGAGGGCCTCGGCCAAGTCAAGGCAATGCGTAAGAATGCGTGCAGCGTTGATGAAGAACAGCCACCTTCTCTCCAATCCAGATCTAATTGGATGGGGGGGTTGCACGAAATCGATCAGCGCGGAAGCTACTATACGAGTCCACGAGACGACAAGCACGAGCAATCCCTAGGTAGATATGTAACTAGTTACTTGAAAAGCTCATCGGAATCAATCAAGCCATATCAGCTGAAAATTGGCCCCTGCATGACCTCACCACCGAGCCATTTGTGGTTCCAGCCAATTTCCGGCGTCCGGCAATCAATCGCAGCGGCCCACAGCCGGAGCGACGCCTCCCCGAAGTTCAAGGCTGTCTTTTAGCTCGGGAAGCTAACACGAGAAGCTACTAGGTATTGAAAGCCCAGCCAGTCAACAGCTTGCGCTTTGTTGATCCTGGGCGCGTTCGGTCTCCATCAATTAATTCGGTTCCGGCACTGGCCAAAGGGGAAAGAAAAAGAAGCTTTTCGCGAGACTGAGAGAGGGCCCCGTGGTTGTAACCAGAGCGGAACAGAGCCAAGAGTATCAGCAGAGACACAGCGATGCACGCCAAGGCTAATACCTACTAAGGTAATACAGGCCTGACGCGTCAAAATTATCTTGTGATGCTTGAGACGCTAAAACCTGATTAGTTACAGCGAACTGTGACTGATTGTCCCGCTACCGCACCGCCCAGCAACAAGCTGCTGTCCTGGACTTGGCACGTAGTTGTACTGTACTTGGCACGCACTTGTCTCGCTGTGCCACTGTGCGCTTCCTCCTCCTCCCCCCCGCCGTTTGATCTTTTCCTTCCCATCCTTTCCTCGCAAAAGGCGCCATTCTTTTTCCTTTCTCGCCATTCATTGTGGTCATACGGTCTTGGGCGCGCTTTTACCACCACACGGCGCTCACGAGCCGCACTCCGATCACAGCCACCACCCACCGCGCGCGCGCCCCCCTGCATCTCATCACGATCCAAAGCACCACCACACGCCCAACATGGGTGACCAGTACCACGGCCAGCAGCAGCAGTACGGCCAGCAACAGCAGTATGGTCAGCAGCAATACGGTCAGCAGCAATACGGTCAGCAGCAATACGGTCAGCAGCAATACGGTCAGCAGCAATACGACCAGCAGCAATACAATCAGGGGCAGCAGTACAACCAGGGACAATGGCAACAGCAGCAGCAGCAGCAGCCGCCTCCGCCGCCGCAGAATAATAACGGAGGCTACGACCAGGGCGGCTACAACTATGGCCCTCCTCCCGCCTACAGCTACAACCCCCCCAAGGCCAACGATGAAAAGTATGGCTTTGAGCAGGCTTTCAAGATTGACAAGCCAAAGTACAACGACATCTGGGCCGGTATCCTTGTACGTCTTGCTCGCTGGCCGCCTCAGTCGCAACAGTGGCTTGCTAACACCAACTTCCCAACTGTCTAGCTCATCCTTGTCTTCGCCGGTTTTGTTGCCGTCTCCGTCCTTGCGCTTCGCGGCTACGCCACGGGCCTACCCGGCAAGGGCATCAGTGATACTAACACCTTTTCCATCAACTCCAACACCCTGATTCTATTCGCCTGCGCCCTCGGTGCTGCCTTTGTCCTCTCAATCGCCTACCTCGGCCTCGCGCGCACGTTTCCCAAGGCCTTTATCTGGGTCACCGGTATTCTCAACCTGATCTTTGGCTTTGGAACTGCCATTTACTATCTGTACAAGAAGAACTACTCGGCCGGCATCGTCTTCCTCATCTTTGCCGTCTTTACCGCCTTTGCCTTTTGGACATGGATTCCTCGCATTCCCTTTTCGGCTCTCATGCTGCGCACCAGCATCGACGTCAGCAAAAAGTACGGCCATGTGTACATTGTCAGCCTGGTTGGCGGTCTTCTCGCCACGGCCCTCGGTGCCTGGTTCTCTGCCACCCTGGTCGGTATCTACGTTCGATGGGAGCCCTCGCCAAACAATCCTCACTGTGGTCCCAACGGCTCCAACTGTAGCCAAAGCACCGTCATTGGTTTGATTGCGTTTATAACTTTTGCCATGTACTGGATTACCGAGTGGCTCAAAAATACCATTCACACCATCATCTGCGGTGTCTACGGCGCTTGGTACTTTGCTGTCCACAACTTCCCCAAGGATGCCACCCGCAGCTCTGCCAAGCGTGCTCTGACCTACAGCTTTGGTTCCATTGCCTTTGGTAGTCTCATCGTTGCCATCATTCAGTTCCTCCGCCAGCTCTGCTCAGTTGCCAGGCAGCAGTCCGGCCAAGAGGGTGGTATTGGTGGCTTCATTGGCATGGCCTTTTTCTGTGTCCTCCAGTGTCTTCTCGGCATCATCGAATGGGCTGTGGAGTTTGTAAACCGATATGCTTACGCTCACATTGCCTTGTACGGAAAGAAGTATATTGCTGCAGCCAAGGACACGTGGAAGATGATCAAGGATCGCGGTATCGACGCCCTCGTCAACGTAAGCCTCTTCTTTTTCGCAGCCTCCCTACCCAAATTGCTGACTTGCCTCATAGGAATGTCTCATTGGTCCCGTTCTATCCTTTGGTGCCTTGTTTGTCGGCTATGCTTGTGCGCTGCTTGCCTACCTTTACCTCCAGATCACCAACCCGGTCTACAACAGAAGCGGCGGCTTTACCCCAGTCATCTTGGCCTTTGCTTTCCTCATTGGCTTCCAAATTGCCAACATTTTCACGACGCCCATCTCCAGCGGTATTGAGACTATCTTTGTGGCGGCCGGCTGGGATCCGCAGGTCATGATCAACGACCACCCCGAGCTGTACCAAGAGATGGTCCGTCTGTACCCTCGCGTCCAACAGGTCATTTATGACCGGTAGAGGGAGAGCATAGAAGGCGTCAAAGCTATGCGAAGCTCCAACTGAAACGTTGAAAACTTGTGTGTGTAAAGAAATGATGAGGCTGAAATACCCTCTCCTTGTCTGGAGAATTGAATGCACCCGAATGCTGTGGTTGTTTAGTGTAGGATTGATTGCGCTGTGTTTCAGCGATTAATTCAGTGGTAGTCTTACTAATTATACTTTTTTTTTGGTTCGATTTCGTTTTGCAAGTGCCATGTAAATCTTGGAAATCCAACATGAAACTTCATAGCCCTTCATGAAACGCAGAGTCGCGTCCTCCAAAATCCTTGCGTGGTGTTGAAGTTGAAGTTCAGCCTGGCCAATTGTGGGGGCACTACAAATTACAAGCTGGCAGGTCAGAGCCTGATTCCATTGAGTCGTGACGCCAATTACTCTTCCGCCGAAGAGTGAGAACGTGCAAAGATTCAATCTCGAGTACGCGCGAAGCCATGGTACCTGCACGCGCCCTCTACGCCATCACCACCTGGGTGTGGGATGACGACTACGAAAAGGAAGGCCTGCAAGAGCCCGAGATCTACGACGACAAAGCTGCCGCCAACACGGCCGCCAGACATCTCATGAGGCGCCTCGCCGATCGGCTCAACCCTTTTGGCGACCGGGACGAGTACAATTTCGAGGATAACCTCGACGACGAGGGCCTGTACCGAGGTGCGTTGGTGGTGGTGACTGACCGTACTACGTTGATTTCAGCCCTGGATTCATGGACCTGGGCGTTGTTTGCAACCTGCTGAAACGTTTGCGGTAGGTCAGCTGGAGGGCGGTCCGCACGGTCGCATCGCTGTCGAAATGTGCGTCTACAAGGTTGCCCTCAACAAGGCCAGCACGCGGGAGACTGCGAAGCGACCCCTGGACAATGCCAAGTACGCGTGGGCGGGTGAGAACGGGGCCGACCACGACGACGGCGAAGAGGAAGGGGAAGAGGAAGAGCCTAAAAAGCCTAACAAAAAGGCCAAACCGGCTCCGAAAAAGACCAGCATCAAAGCCGGCCTCTCCCACACCAACCGCAAGAGCATGCCGCGCGGCACGCCCAACAGCCTCGCCGGCGTGCGGCTGCTCTTCACGGGCACCTTTTCCAGCATGGACCGCACCACGTCCGTCGCGACGGCCAAGAAGTTTGGCGCCGACGTGGTGCGCCGGCTCGAGGACACCGACTACGTCGTGGTGGGCGAGCGCGCGGGCCCCAAGAAGCTGCAGGTGATGAACGAGCTCGAGCTCGAGACGGTGACCGAGGCCGAGTTTTTGGCCATGCTGCGCGAGGGCGTCGGCGAGGACAAGAGGCAGCGCATGGCCAACAAGAGGACGGCGGATGACGAGGAGCGGCCGCAGACGCCGCCCCGGCCAGCCAAGGTGGCGAGGACGGCCAAGGGTCGCGGGAAGAGGAGCAGATGAGCTGATGAGCACGCTTTGGCATTTCTACTGCATTTGTTTATATATATTTCAGCCGTCTGCGCCTCCGGTGGGCTACGCACGTCCCGTACTAAGTACATTTGGGTTCGCTTCCGCTACAAGTGTATCAAATGTTGATATTGAGGCACCAGTGCAACACCGCCGTGTTGGGACCGGCTATGCTAGCTAGTGTCGCATGTTGTATGAATTAATACCGTGCCTTGGCAGTATTGCTCTTCTATGTTCATTTCTACCACCAGGCCCATATCGTCATTGAAGCGTCAACTTGATTTGCGTTCCTCCTTGTCAGAGCATGAACGGTTCCAGACAGTGTTGTGTGGCCACCCGGCTTGTTAATGGATATGAGCAGACCATCAGGTCGATTTGGTGCGCCAGTCTTCGTAGCAAAGAGCTTTCCAACACTTCTCTGTTGGATTGTGCGGGCCTTGTTGGTCTCCAGCGCGTGCTTGACGCTGAGCCGTTCGCGTCGCATTCTTAAACTGGCAACATATATACTTATTTTAGGCCATTCGACAGCAAACGTGTCTTTGTGTATACGGGTAGCCAGGGGGGTGGCGTGACGGCACTCGGGCTTCTGGGTATCTTGATCACAGTAACCCGCGAATGAATTGGTCGAGCCCAAGCTCGAACAGCTCATTCTCTACACCGTCACCACCCTTGTGCTCTACCGGCGACAGGGGGTTCTTGACAACTGCACGCACTTCTCATCAGCGGCCTATTTCTCCTTGGAAACGTGATATCGGACTAACCGTATTCAACCCAGAGATTAATGTATATTTGGTGCAGCACGTTGCGCATGCTCGGCGCTGCCGTGTCCGTCAGGAGAACGAAGCGCAGGTTGGCAGGTGTCTCGTAGTAGTGCATCTTGTACTGGCCGGTGCGGAAGCTTATGAAGGAGTCGTCGTCGCCGCCGAGTTTCCGGGCCATGTTGCGGAGGGAGAATACGGTGCCGAAGATGAGCTTGGCGTTGTCAGACGCGGAGGCCTGCCCGGGCGCGGGGGCTGGCGCTGTCATGGCCGGGCCGCCCGTACTGGAATTTGGGCGGGTGACAGAGGCGGGCAGCCACGACTTGGAGTATATGCATTCGGCTAGGAGAGAGAAGAGGTGCGCGTTAGTCGTCTGCGGCCATGGTGATGGGGGGGGAACGGCCCAGGAGCCGGCGCCGGTAGGGTCTGCGTACTGTGGCGGTCGAAGATGTAGATGGAGTAGATGGTCATGATGGGGGAGGGGGGGCGCCGGGCCGGCGGCGCGGTATCTGGGTTTTATTCGAGTCAGGTATACGTTGTTTTTTTTACTCGGTGATCGTGGGGCTCGAACGCGAGGTGTAGATGCAATCGTTGGTCGTGGATTCGGGGTGGAAGATGGGTGGTGGTCGCATGTTGAAGCTTGGGCGAGATGTGGCAGTTGCAGCGAGACCAGCGTTATTAGGGGTGTGGCGCGTTCCTGGATAAGTGGCGCAGGGAGTGCGCGGAGGGGTAATTAGCCATAACCTGCTACTCGCCAAGGCAGGGAAAATGAAGACACAGTAAAATATGAGCATATATTGGGTATTTAGCAATAGATTCCAATGACTTCTTTCTTTTTCCCTTGCCAAGTAGAACACGCAACGCTTTTGACCGCTGTTCTCTGTTCTCTGTACCTCGGTGACACGAACCACCTACAGCCAGAGAGCTTGGAGACGTCTGAAGACCAGTAATGGCATTTTCTTGAGTTTCCCCTGCTTATTTTTTCTTAGTTTTCATTACTTGAAGTCATCTTTTGTCATCTAGGTGCCCATTACACATGGCTCTATGTAGTTATGTAGGTAGCCACGCAGTGCAAGGGGTCCATGTTTGCACATCATCACCCAATGGAGCCTCTTGGCGATGGCTAAATTAACGAAGCCAACAAGTCTCAATTCACACCAGTCTGGACTTGAAACCCAAAGCATCTCGCTAACAGCATCAGAGATGATCTCGATGCAAAACCCGTACCGGCACGCACGGCCGACGAAGCGAACAACTCTCCACCCACACACGACCAGTCCACCACGGAGTCTAGAGTCTAGACGTACCTGTTGCCCGCCTTATTACTGGTCGGACGGCCTAAAACTAGAGCTCCCACATGTACAATGCCAGTCAGAGAAACCCCATCCCACAACATGGTATCGTACAACGGTCCGGTACAGGTCCAACGGCTTTTTTCCCTTTTTCCTCTTTTTCATTCTTCTTCTCCGTGAGAACCCCTCTTTTTCTTGACTCCCAGTCTTACGCATCCTTCGGTGAGGCGCCTCTGTGCAGCTTCACCCCGCTCCTCTGCAGCCTGGCGATAGCTGCTCTTCAACACTGACGGACCCCTCTCTGCTGACTGGCTGGAGCTGTCGCAGCTGAAAGAAGAACCCTGTGCGCACCACGTTTCTCCCGCGCGGGAAGTTTCGACGACACCTCTCTTTTCTACCCCGGCGTGACTGCTACGCGCCGATGCCAGGAGCATGGACAGCTCATCTAGCATGGAGACGCCCACAGCGCCCACCATTAACATGCCTCAGAATGAGCCCTCTTTGCCGCTGAAATACGACTCTGTACAAGACTTGTCAACCTCGGCGATGCTCGAGAGGCCGCAGTTGGCGACCAACGCGTGAGTCACCTGGATCATCTAGTCAACCTCATCGCTGACCATTTTTCTGCCACAGATCTGACCCTCCCGGGCTACAAAACTTTCAGAGCCCTTTGCGACAACATAAACGGCAACCGAGCGCCCACCGCGAGATCAAGGTATGTGCTTGTAACCGGCAGCACCACCTACGTATTCCCAGCTGATCAAACAGGAAACCTTGGATGCCCGTGTCGAGTACGCAAGCGACGAGGATGATGGTCGGACCTATCACAAGATCAACCAGTACACCATTATTGAGGAAGTCGGTCGCGGCTCCTATGGGGCTGTCCACCTTGCCACTGACCAGTTTGGCACCGAATATGTATGCATGCGCGGGGCGCGACTTTATGATGAGACTCGCGCAAAACTGATTCTACCTAGGCCGTCAAAGAATTTTCCAAATCACGACTGCGCAAGCGCGCGCAGTCCCAAATCCTACGCCGTGGACCCCAGGGCCGTCCCCGACGCCAGCCCTTGCGCGTCAGGAGCAACGGTCAAGTCCTGACGCCGCAGCTCGGGGGAGAGCAGCCTGGCGAGAAGGAAGATTCCCTGCACCTCATTAGAGAAGAGGTGGCCATCATGAAGAAGCTCAATCACCCCAATCTTGTCCAGCTCATCGAAGTGCTCGACGACCCGGGCGAGGATTCGCTCTACATGGTCCTCGAAATGTGCAAAAAGGGTGTCGCCATGAAGGTTGGCCTTGACGACCAAGCAGATCCGTATAGCGACGATGTATGCCGCTACTACTTTCGCGATCTCATCCTGGCCATTGAATATTGTACGCCTCACTTGTTTTGTCGAAACCGAACGCGCAGCGCTAACATGATCAGTACACTCACAGTCCATTATTCATCGCGACATCAAGCCAGACAATCTCCTCGTGGCAGCAGACGACACTCTCAAAGTCAGCGACTTTGGTGTATCAGAAATGTTTGAGAAACCTGACCACATGAAGATTAAGAAGTCAGCAGGGTCTCCTGCGTTCCTGGCGCCGGAGCTATGCAGCCCTCACGGCGAGGTGTCGGGCACTGCCGCCGACATCTGGTCTATGGGTGTATGCTTGTACTGCTTTCGCTACGGCAAGATTCCCTTCAATCGTGTGAGCGTGCTGGAAATGTACGAGGCGATCCAAACGGAACAGCCCAAAATACCTGATGGCGAAGATCCGGCCTTTGTCGACATACTGGAGAGGCTTCTCAAGAAGGACCCCGAACAGCGCATCACAATGGCCGAGCTTCGTGTAAGTCCTTGCCCTTTTGTTCGCAGAAAGCTACTAACTAGACACAGGAGCACCAATGGATCACGAAAGACGGTACAGACACTCTACTCTCCGAGGAGGAGAATTGTGCGCACAAGGTGGACCCGCCCAACGAGCTTGAGATCAGCCGGGCTTTTACAAGAAAGATGGACAACGTATTCTGCGTGCTCAAGGCCATTTCCAAATTCAAGTCGCTCCTGTCTGATCGACGGGCCTCGAGGAGCCCCGTCGTGACGGACGAGATCGGGGATGGGACGTTTGACCCCGCCGAGGAAAAGGCGCGCGCCGAGGAGATTGAGGCGCTCCTCGCCCAGCGCCGCGAGGTGCTGAGTAGACGCACCCGCGACAGCACTGGTGACAGTGATGACAGTACCGCCGGCAAGGGCCACGCCAAGGATATTAGCGATCAGGAGCCGCTCTACCTCGGCATTGGCACGAGCTCCCGGCACGCGTTCTACCTCGACGACGAGTCGGCTGATGACGTGGTGGCCGACTCGCCGAGCGCCGTCGACTACAACATTTATGACCGCGCCTACGAGCAGGCCATCAAGGACCGGCTCAGCGCGAACCCGGCCGCACGGCCCGTCATGTACCTGACCAAGTTTGTCAGGGAGACGGACCACTTCAAGTCGTTTGAAAACATCGTCGAGGGCACCATCTTCTCGCCGGCTGCCGTGCGCGAGCAGATGCGCGAGACGCGAGCGAGCCTCCACGAGCACTTTACCTCGCCCTCGACGAACAAGCTCGGGCGGCTCGTCGCCAAGATGGGCCTCACGGACCCCCCGCTGGCCGATGGCGCCGTCAGCGCCCTCGTGGCACCGAACGATGACGCAGACGACGCTGAGCCACCGCCAGCCGCTTCGGCGGACGACGCCGCGCATCCCGCGCTGGAGAAGCTCGTGGAGAGCGATGCGGCCGACAAGGCTTCGACAGCGAGCGAGTCCGCCGCCGCCGCAACCGGCTCGTCCTGAAAAGGGGCAAGCCGAGGCGCGTGAAAGCCCTGAGAAGAAGAAGAACTTTGGCAGATGAGGCTGCACAGGACGCTGGTCGCACAGCAGCGAGCACGCGGACGATGACCAGCACCATCAGAGCCCCTGTGACCACCACACAGGGCAGCAACACCGTTATGTGTGTGACGTTTGGGCGGCCTGACAGGTTTCTTTTCTCATTCTTCTTGTGTGAGTGTGTGTGAGTGTGTGTGCGTGCGTGTGTGGTATGTGTGTTTCCATTCCGCTCTTGGTCGTTTTGCGTGCAAGAAACCATGGACAGCACACCTTAGCGTGCCAGCTCATTGCCATGTGGCTCGTCGGAAAGGTTTGCGCGCACGCCTGGTGTAACACCGTCCAGTCTTTGTCGGGCTTGGCAGCTTTCCTCCCTCTGAGATGGAAAAGTTCACCAACGAGGGAAAATACAAGGGTTGGCAGGAATTGGATGAACCCGATTACGATGCGTGGCAAAATGCAAATAAACAACGAGACGAGGAGGCGGGCTGTTCCTTTCCTCCGATAAGGGCCAAGCCTTTTTTTTTTCCCTTCTCCGGTTTCTGATATTGATTCGGTGGCAGTGGCTTGTTGATGCCCGTCGCACACGGCATATCACTGAGGAAGAAACAAGCAACATTGTCGGTGAGGATTGTCCCTGTCATTGGACTCCCTCGTTATCTTTCCGCCTCCTTTTCTCTGCATATCTGTCTTGTGTTGCCTCGGGATTTTTTATTTTTGTGTCCTGCATCTTCCCCCCCCCTGCTGGCATGTTGTTGGCCACTGAGGACAAGGTGCGAGGCCACGAGCAAGGCTGGTGACGCCAAGAGTCTGTTTCTGTTCTTGATCCCCCCCCGGCCGGCTGGCGGCGCCTGCGGGAGCTAAGCCAGGGGGGGAGGCTGTTTCTTTTTTTGTTCTTTTCATTGTGCGTAGATACCCTGCTTTCTACATGGCCATTCGTAGTCAGTTACACCACATGTGCGTGTACTTTTTTTTTTCTTTTTTAATATCACGATTTATCTCTCATACTAAGAGGCATTGTTGTGTTACGTGATGGAATGACGAGCTGCTATCGCAAAGCCAATTGTGGAGAGATGCGCCTTGTTGTCTCTTCGATTCAGCTTGTCTCTTCCTTGGGCCTATTTTTGTTTGAGTAGCTGAATACTACATCGTCGTCGTCGTTGTTGTCGCTGTCAGATCCCGCTTCGTGAATGACGGGGCCTGGCCCTGTCCCCGGAAGAAGCAGCCGGTTGCGCCGGCCAGAAATGTTTCAAGAAACCCGAGAGACCGGCAAATTATGGAGCCAATTTGATATCCAAAAAGAAACCTGAATTTGCACCACGTTCATTGTTCCTACCTTATATCACGTCCCTCCGGCGTGACCGACGGCGAGTATGCATGCCCCAGCAGCAACAGCATCACTACCAACCCACGCGGCAAGTACAACATGCAGGCAGAGCCCTGCGTAACAGTGGAAAATGTTGCGCAGAGTGCCCTCGAGGGTGGGACCTCCTCTCCCCCTTGCCAGTGCTGTAATTCTCGACAACAAGGCTGTAAAGCTCGTTGGGCAGAAAGGATAGCATGTTTTCTTTTATGTGGCAAGGGTTCCCGGTATTCGGAAAGTCTGGGCAGCAATGCATATAAAAGTAATAGTAAAAAAAAGCCAAGGACAGACTGCAGAGGGCGTGTTTTTGGCGGCGATGCAGATCTACGATGGCTGTGCGGATAGAGATATGTATCCTGTAGTTAACTACGGTGAACCTGGCCGGCTATTCAAAGGGTGGGAAAGAAATATGCCTTTCAACATTAATTTATTAAACTTCAAGGGTTCGATTTGGCAGCAAAAACCCGGAAATAATTTCCCCACAGTTAGTCTTGGCATTTTCTGAGTTTGGTACCGCGGCTACGCCAGGTACGGTACCAGCTGGTGAGCCCAGCAGGAGCTAATCTATGTAGTTACTGGTCGAGATTGAAGAATCTTGGCAAAATGGTGGTGGCAGCGGGTTGTTGGCGAGTTTGGGCATATACCATGATGATGCATCAGCAGCTCGGTAGGATCGGCGCGCAAGTTGCACGTTCCCACTTGTGGGCTATTAGAGACCAACTAGGTAGTTAGGTAGTTACGCAGGAGGCATTTGCTTGGTGTGTACCAGTCATCATGTGTAAGCAAGTTTGGCAGTATCCTGGGTCCGGATCCTTGAAAGTCAGCCTGCTCCTGAGGTGCGGCCGCCTTGTGCGCCTCGGCGAAAAGAGGGACAAGACTGCTCTGCTCCTGACAGAAGTGAACAGTGGTGGGATATTCTCCCTTGTCGAAAAATAATCAAAGAAAATGATAGAAACGGGTTCGGATTCCCAGTGTTAGCCATCCGGTGTGTGGAGTGACGTAGTGTTCTTGGCTGACGGAGTGCCATCATCCATCATGTGTCGTGTTGTGTGCTTGATACCGTGCGGGGAAGGCAAGACAGGCTCGCCGTCTGCCGTCGCCTGGCTCTTTTCCGTTGTTGGCCGAGAGAAGGTTTGCTTTTCTTATTTGCCCGGTTCCATTTTGCATGCCTGTAACCTATAAAAACACGCGTCATTTTCCCGCAGCACAAGTGAGAGACTGCACACACCCAACAACCAGGTCGAGTGGCTCTGCCATGCCATCCCTGTCCATCAGTCAAAAGATGGTGGCAGTTATGATGCTTCTGTTGTATTATCAGCCTCTTGCCACACAGGCGTTGTTGCGATATGATGTCCGCATACAACATCAGTGCCATGGCCAATAAACGAATGGGCTTATCACTTACAGCATCCAGCTCACGCAATGCAGTGACGCGCATTGTGACGCACGCCGCGCAGTCAATGTGTCTCATATGCGCAAGAGGCCCTGCTTCGTGCTACAGAAGAAAGGTCGACGTTGCATCAAATCGTAACGTACATAGAACCGCAACCAAAGTTTGGGGCACCTGTAGTGACTGATGCTAATCTCCCGCACGAGCCTGTCAATGCCCGAGACGCGTCAAGCAAGCTTAAGCAAAACCGTAGCCGTACAGACTCTGCACGCATAATCCAGCGCTCTGGGATGGCTTTAGCCGGGTCGCGATGCGCTTGAGTCGGCGGCACTTCCATCATGTCCATGACAGAGTCTTGCGAGATGGTGGGGAGCCACGGTCCGATGCTACAGACGCCACGTAGCAATCCAAGACAACAGCATGAAAACAGTGAATCAACCTTGCATATCTTGGCTTTCATTGTAAACTGGCGCCGCGAGGCTGCCTCGAGGACCAAACAAGAGCGACGTCCTGCATAACTGTGGGGGAACCGGCCAAAATTACAGCCGCAAAATTCTGCAATGGCGCAGATGCCGAGGGACAAGCCAGCAAGGCGGTGGCGTTTTGAAATACAGTGCCCTAATGGAAAGCCATGCAACAAGCCAAGACGGCAAAGCAAGCCGATGCGTGCGGACACGGGGCTACAGCGGCGGGGTAGAACGCCGAAGGGTCAACTAGAGACGCTAGATGGTTAACAGCACTTGTGCTCCGCAGGCTTGTAAGAGGCGATATTCTCTGGACCCGTTGGTACATGAAAGTACTGACTTGACAGAGTCTAGTGCAGCTGCGGCCAAGCGTAGAAAATGGGCCTGAGTTGTGAACCAAGTGATTGGGGGCCGTGGCGTAGGGCAAGCACCCTGAACAAGTTGAAGTGGGATATCCGTGCTTATTTATGAGCTGGCAGATGTGCAAATGAGGATAGGCAGGTGTATTGTTTGTTGATTAACGAGGAGGCGTCTAGTTAGTGTTCTTGCAAGCCTGCTCTCTGGTGGCTGGAATACGCGCAGGCGGTCAGCGGTCGGCGGTTTCCCCAAAGGCTAGGAGAACAGGCTACTGTTGGGACCTGCCTGTAAAAATACTGATCTCCCTGAGAATTTGAGCCGACAAAGCTCACCAGTCCTGGCAGGGTTTGGTTTTGGCTCCATCTGGCATCCATCTTGTCATGTCCACCCGTCTTTACCCAACCAGAGTTAGCTGGCCTCGCAGGCTGGAGCGGGCAAGGGTTCGGTTCGGCTGTCAGCTCAATATTTGCCCCTGTATGGATTTTAGCGCATGGGCTGCTACAAAAACCCCAAGGATTACCAAGCCGCATTCTCGACTCAGGCCAAGAAACATCGGTGTACATGTCAGGAGGGTCGGTCGGAGAGGATTGAAGCTGCAGCTTTCGAGGTAATAGAGCTAACTTACAGCACGCCAAGAGCAATACGAACCAGAGGCTGCATTTGAAGATTGGGTGGGTGGTGGAGGATGGGCTGTTGTCGTACGTCGTTTCTCAGAATATGCCGCATGCCCCGCGTAGTGACGTCGCTGAGGCTGCTAACACGGCTGTCCAAGCGCCTCCAGCACTGATTTTGTTTGTTGGCGCCTTTGGCCTGATTTCTTGTACTTGACAGCATGGCGCGTATTCTGGGCAGAAGCAGGGGCAACGTCTCTGTGACAAAAGATTATGGAGTGTTCTTGTTGAGAGGTCTAACGTTAGTAGAGTCTGGCCATGGTCACATCGCGGTCAACGGTGAATCGAGAACCCCAGCTGCATCTAATAAGCTTAGCCGGGACAATTTGCGACAGCCCAGACTCGGACGCAGGGCTTTCAGGCTACTGTGGCAGGGCAGTGAGAGACATTGAGGTAACTGAACCGGTGGAAAGGACCCGGGTGGCCGGGTCCGAAACATCTTAACTTTGATGATCTGGTTTTCGCTGTGGCGTGTAAGACGGCAGGATCGGGGTTTATGCAGGCGACACTGCATGTCTAGCACTTTCAGCAGGTGTAGACCATGTCAGCTGTGTGTTAGGTGGCAGTTAGCAGGCCATAGTGAGACAATCGCTGATAATGGCCATGGACGTGTCGCACGCAGCGTGTTGAGAACATGGGAGAGATATAGCATGTTGTCGCGATATGTGGCGGCACTGGGGGGGCTGTCATAGAGGATTGGTGCAATGGCGTTGAATAGACTGGGGGCCGAGAGGTGATGAATCGCGCAATTGAGTTTGCTTGCAATGAGAATGCCTCACTGCTTGATTGGATGCACCCGCGTGGCATCAAGAAGTGTAAGCCGCGGACGCCGAGTGGGAGGTTGTGTGGAAGCGATGGGAAGCATCGGCCTCGGTCTCTTGCTAGTTGGTAGGTAGTAACGGAACAATGGAGAAGAATGTAGTCAGATCTTGAGACAATGTTTAGATGATTCGATGGTGATTTGCTTGTCCGATGCGACGTTGCCGGAGTACCTAGGGCCTAACGATGGAAACGAGAATTCGGCAAGCGAGCTTACTGTCTGGTGTTGACTCGTTGGGACCTGAGTCTTGGCGTGCAAGGCCTTGAGAAAGAGTTTTGCTCGCAAAGAGAGGTATCTGGCGTATTTGGCTACACGAGACATGCATAGAGTGGTCTGTGAGATGATGAAGAGAGAAGATGAGGAGGGCAGTGCGTAGGTAGGGTGCGTTTGCTGGGTGTTTGATGACGATGCAGTGAGAGAGGATGCGGCTTGGCGGCGGCCAAACAGACAGACAGACAACCGACAGGAAGGAGCCATCAAGCGAGGCGCAGCGCTGGTGGCCTCTCCGGTACCTACAGGTACGGATAGCGGTAGCAAATTTACTATTAGCGGGGGCTTGCCTCGGGGCCGTGGGCAGCGGTGGGTGCTGTAATTTGCCCTTCAGTGGGCACTGAGTTTTTATTACAGATCACCTACAGCAGCAAACAGCTGCCTACAGTCCTGTAATACAGAGAGGCTGTGGCGTGGCGGTTCGGAGCTCAATAGACCCGGTACCTACAACGCGGCGGTGGCCACTAGCCGATAGACTTTGCAAGTTGGCTTCATGTTACTCGTCACGATGATCAAGCTTTGCCGAATTAGGGCACTGCAGCGCAAACAAACAAATGAAAAGATAGTTGCCGTAACAAGGCACAGCGACCGAGGAGCTGTGGTCGACGGTAGAATCCAGATTCGCAGCACACGTACGTCCTGCGCCGTGGCGGTCCGCAATACTCCGGCGCCGCTCCACAGGACCGCTCACTGGCTGGGTATCCGTACCACCTACCTGGTATGAGCAGCTAGCTGAGATACCCGGCGCGCCTTGCGAGAATGCACAGCACGCCTGGTAGCCGACGATAGGGGCATCTGAGAACTGCCCTACTGCGACTACCAACTAGTAGGTATGCAGCCACCAAATAACTTCGTCTTTGAGGAACTAGCCCGCCCAGGCATCCCCTCACCGTGAGCGCGAGACCAATAGGGCGCGCTAGAGGCTTTCTGCCACCAAATCACCTTTACAACAGTTTTGCGCCGCAAAAGTACCTGCCTACCCTGACGCTGGTACTCGCAGGTACTGTTGACTGTCACCCACCGCCGCCTGTGGGCAGGTACTTGGCCTGTCATCACAAAACTGGTTTTTTTGGCCACGTCGAGCCCCAGAAATTTGTCTTGTAAACCCTCACACTCTTTACAGGTACTTTTCGACCCTTTTATTCGTTTCCCATCCCTAACGTTAGAGACAATCCAGTTAGTCTTCTTTTTTTTTTTTTTCCTCCGTTTGTTTTTTCCTAATATTAACTATTTTTTACCCTCCTCTTGCACCCACCCACCTTCATTGTCTCTGTGGTCCCTGTAGCCCCCTCACTGCCACCAAAGCCAAGCTGCCATCGCATGTACCCTCTTGTACCCTTGTCCATCTTCGCCGCCAGCCCGTCTGCCCGCCGCCTCCACCCGTGGCCCGCCTGCCACCTGCTGCTGCCACCTGCTGGCTCCTCTTAATAATTACCTGTCGCCGCTCTTCCCACATCCTCAACCAGCCGCCTTTGCTGCCTGCTAAACCCTCAAAACCTCGTCCGCGAGTGCTTACACTTTTCCTATATTTTTTTGCCTTCACTGGCTTACTCCTTTGGCAACCTTGTACACTTCCTTCTTCTTGTCAAGCCTACTTCAAGCCTACAACTTCCGCACCTAATTTGCACGTCTTCCTCCTTCTCATCACCACTCTGACATTCCTGTCATACAACTCTCGTCCACCACTACCTCCAGCGGCTACAATTTTGGACAAACGCTCTCGCTCTCGCTCGACCATCCGCCCCCATCTTCGGTCCATCAGCAGCTAGTTCTGTGGCGACAGTTAAACGCCCTTTTGTTTTGTTCGTTCAAGAGTATCGATACGCCAATACGGCGTCCTCTGCGCCATTGCGCTGCTTTGCGCCTCTCGCCTCCCTCGACTCCCCGCGTTTGCGCTGCGTCCCAGTCGTAACGTCTCGCACTGCCTCGCTTGAGCAAGGCCTCACCGCCCCCCGAACTCAACTTCCTCGCCTCTCCTGTATGCGCCTTACGCCCCGCGCCTTGACGTTTTGAATCATTCTGTCCCTGGTCGACTCAATCGTCTGGCCATTGACGTCGCCAGCGATTCGCCTCCCGTCATTCGCACCTTCTCGATCCAATATCCTTCTATAGACCGAAAAATGACCGAATCAAAACCAAGCTCAACCCCGAGCTCTAAACCTTCCTCCATTAAGTCTTCTGATGGCGTAAAGAGATCCCCCGGCCTTCGTCCACAGGACGCTGACGGCTCCTCGCCCGCCGGCAGCGATTACGGCAAGCCCTCGGAAAAGTCTTCTGTCAAAGATCGCCTCACCCGCATGTTCTCCTCCAAAGAACCATCTCGAGCCGCCACCCCCAATGTTGCCGCCAATGGTGCTACCAACGGTAACGGTGAGGCCTTTGGCCGCCCTCGCGGCTCCTCTGTCAACAGCACTTCGGCTTCCAAGACTGCCAAGGATGTCACGGCCGCCGACAAGCCCATCGACAAGGACAAGGCTGCTCAGGGCCAAGTAAAATCTGTCGCTCCAAAAGAAGGCAGTACTCGCTTCATGCCTACTCTTGACGCCCCAGGCGGTCACGAGCATTTCCTCAAGTCCAGCCGCCGTCAGGAGAAGCTCTCGGATATGTGGCGTAGTCTTATTGGCAAAAAGGCAGAGCCTACCCCGGATAGCGATCTTTCGCTCGTCTCCAACTGGGTCGACTCGCTGCGCCAGGAAAGGGAAGACGCGGCCAACGGTACCAAGCCTGGCATTCACACCACGACCACCACACTCGTCGAAAAGTACGGCAAGTGCCAGGAGATTGTCGGGCGTGGCGCCTTTGGCATTGTCCGCATCTCCCACAAGAAGCTCGGCGCTGGTGAGAAGCTCTTTGCCGTCAAGGAGTTTCGCCGCCGACCTGAAGAAACCGAGAAAAAGTACAGCAAACGTCTCACGGCCGAGTTTTGCATTTCTTCTTCTCTCCGCCATCCCAACGTCATCCACACCCTTGACCTGCTTAAGGATGCCAAGGGCGACTACTGCGAGGTCATGGAATTTTGCGCCGGCGGTGATTTATACACCCTGATCCTTTCTAGCGGCAAGCTCGAGGTCCAAGAAGCCGACTGCTTTTTCAAGCAAATGATGAGAGGCGTTGAATATCTTCACGAGATGGGCGTGGCCCATCGTGATCTCAAACCCGAGAACCTGCTTCTCACCACCCGTGGTGGCCTCAAGATCACCGACTTTGGCAACGGCGAGTGCTTCCGCATGGCGTGGGAGACAGATGCCCACATGGTTTCGGGCCTGTGCGGCTCCGCGCCGTACATTGCCCCCGAAGAATACACGGACAAAGAGTTTGATGCCCGTGCCGTCGATGTCTGGGGTTGCGGTGTTATTTACATGGCCATGCGCACCGGCCGTCATCTCTGGCGCGTTGCCAAGAAGGACGATGACGAATTCTACGCTCGCTATCTTGAGGGACGTCGCGACGAAGACGGCTACGGACCTATTGAGTCCCTGCACAGGGTAAGATGTCTTGTTTTCGAACCATCTAGGATCACACGCTAACTTTTCGTGCCAGGCTCGTTGTCGCAACGTCATTTACTCTGTCCTCGACCCTCATCCCACAAGACGTCTCACGGCCGCGCAGGTGCTCAAGTCCGAATGGGTGCGCGAGGTAAAACTGTGCAAGGCCGGCGAGGAGGGCCTCTAACACACTGTCCGTCATGCTCCTTTTGCATGGCGGACTGCTCTGATGGCAGTAGGCTGGCTTACAATATTCCGTGTGTCCCTACATGATTTATTTTTTGGCACCTCGCCGCACATCTTGCAGCTTCTTGCTCGTACAACAACTTTTGCACAATGTGCAGCTCTAAGAAGACTTGGAGACGACGTACCAGGTCAACGATGATGAGATATGAAAATGCACGCATTCACGCCATATTTCTGCGGAATGGTATTCAAAGACGACTTGTTATTTATTTTTCTCCGTCGGCGGCGGAGTAGGAGGATGCCAACACAGGATTTTTGGCGTTGTGGCTTTCCTTTTTTTTCTCTCTTGTACCTGGGTTTACACCTTGGACGCCAGCCACCGTTTTTATAACCTGTGGGGAGTTTTCTTGTTCTTGACTGGATCTTCTACTCTGGTCCGTTTTGTTGGATAGTTTGTTTACGGGGGTTATACACCGATAAGCACTGGCGTTTTTTGGAGCACGTTTTGATTCACTCCGTCTTTGTTTCCCCATCCTGGCTTGTATTTATTCTCTTCTGTTGGGCAATGGCCAAAACAAATCTGCGGGGTTCCCTTCTTCTTCTTTGTTCTTTGGTGACATGGTGGAGCAAGATTTCTGGTCATTTCTGTCGGCGGTTGGTGTGTTTCTTTCTGCTCCCATGGTCCATGGGCCATGTGGTATTTTTTGTTGATATTTTATGCTTTTGGATGCGGAATATGTTGCTGTAGCAGGTCAACGTGGAGAATCGGGAATTGGTGGTTCGTTGGGCGCAAACGGGGTAGAGTCGACATGTAGATGAAGATGAAACAAGTACAGAATAAATACGACGTCATATTCTGAACAAAGATAATAGCGCATGTAGGCTACGATTCAGACAGAGGTGCTCACATTACAGAAAGAAGCACCACCACACATGGGGCAAGCTCTTCACTGAGAATATTTGCATTCATCAAACAACAGACAAGTCCATTAACAAACTGCCCGTCCATTCCTCGTTGCGCCAGATTCATCAACCCATTCCATTGTACCTCCCATTCGTAATTGTCACAGAAAAAAAAAAGTTGAAGATTCGGCGGTGCAATGTCCAAACCACACAAAGGTGGGAAACATAAAATAAAGACAAAATGCAGGCAAGAAAAGAAAACACCAGCGTCTCTGCCCTTGCCTGCCCATTCATATACACGGTGTCTGACAAAAAAGGGCCGTGAGACTCAGTCCCCAGCGCATACCCCGCCCGTCCCGTTGTTGAAAAGAAGCGAAGTAAAATGATGTAAATATAAAGTGTAAAATGTAAGGTGTGTTTGATTCGTTCGTGGTGAGCAACACATGGTGACTGAGAGTATGATTGAGACCCACGAACCCAGTTGCGCTCATGATATACATGGTCCGTAGTCGTGTTCACGAGTGGAAAAGATCCCAGGCGCGCTCGCAGATTCGCAAAAACTCTTCTCGCTTTGCACGCTGTGATTCCGGGCTGTCACGACCCGCGCCAAAGGGGCCGCGTCTACTCGAGGAAGGGCCATGGCCGAGAGGCGGGCTAGCTCCATCCTCGTATTCCGCGCGGTTTCTTCTTCTGTTGCTGCTGCTGATGCGGCCACCTACAGGCGAGGGTGGCGTGGGGGGTTGATGTCCGCCGTAGTGCACAATCTTGGGCAAGAGCTCAGGGCGACCACCGGCGATTTCTTGCTGAGCGTCTTCAGCCGACTTGTATTCTCTTGGGCGGGCGGATAGAGGAGCCGGGTACGCAGACTGTGGGTGGTTTGGTGAGGCCAGCGGGATACCTGAAGAAGAGCCGTAGTTGGAGCGGTGGCTGTCGCCGTGTTGGCCATGAGGGAAGACGTCATAGATGGGGGGCAGGCGGTTGCTGGTCTGCGCGGCAGGGACGTGGTGAATGTGAGATTGGCTGCCGTGGCCTGGTTGGGTCGGAACGTGGCGCGACAGCGGTGCTGGGTGGTGGCGGCCGGTGAAGCTGTGGCCGAGTGGCGCAGATTGAATCACGCGCTCGTGAGCAAAATGCTCATGGGAAGGCGCAACAATGGAGAGGCCAGGAGGGGCACGTCTGCGATGAGAAGACAGTCCCGGCGTCTTGGCAGAAAATTGATCGGCGCCGTCACGATCAGGATGGGTACCGTCGCCCTTTGCCGACTGCTGCAGACGAGCTTCGATAATGTTGCGCTGTTGTTCACGAACGCTCAGGCTGCGCTGGAGCTGCTCCTTCATGACAGGGTTTTGCGTGACAAAGCCAGGGGACAGGCAGGCCAGGCCAACCTCTTGGATTCCGAGACCATCTCTAGCGGTCAAAGGAAGAGCCGAGGCGGGAGAGTTGCCGTTGAGTGTGTTTTTGGATAGATCAAGTTTACGCGGCCGAGGCCGCGCGTTGTTGAGAGATGGGGAACCAGGCTCCTTCTTAATGACAACTTTGGGTAGGTTGGCGTCGGGTTTTGACCTGTTTCACGTTGTTAGTGTGCAGGTTTCTACTTGCATCATTGTACCACGGGAAATGACTTACGCGCTAGAGGGGGAGCCCTTGCCTGAGACGAGCACAGCTCTGGGGCTGTTGCTTCCGGATCTTTGAGCATGCGGTTGCGAAGCAGCAGGTTTTGAGGTTGAAATCGGTCTGCGCGAAGCAGGGGATGTGGTACCATTGGCAGTCGAGGCGATGGGGGCAGGAGCCGAGGGCGACATGGCGGAGGACCTTTCGTGAGGCGCAGGAGAGGGAGCCATGGCGATTGCAGCACTCATAGTTGATCTTGGCGCGGGGCGGCAGAGGTCGATTTGCAAGTATGGGAAAGATAGCTTTCCAGCTGGAGCTTGCGAGTCGACGATGTAGGCGAAAGCGAGGGTCGGCGGTGGTGCAGATGACAGACGGTGTATAAGCAGGCTTGGCGACGAGGCAAGGATGGAAGTTTGTAACTGCGCAGAGTGCGGAATTCAAGTATCGAATACGGTGAGTCGTCGGGTGGTTTTTCAGGTGCGATTATAGTCGTTGGCAAGTTGGTGAGTCGAGGCGAATTGCTGGTGCGCAGGTGTCGCGTATAAAAGAGACCGGACACGTTTTTTTCTTGGCGGTCTCGAGAGGGTCTATCGCAAACGGGTTGACAGTGTGATGCAGCAACAAGTAATGGCGGTCAGATTAAAGGGACATGGGCTGTCAAGAAGCAAACGCCGCATGAAAGAAGAAGGGCGGACGCTTTGTTGCAGGAAGAGAGGAGGGGGAGGAAAGGAAAGGACAGGACGGAGGAGGAGGGGGTAAAAGTGTTGCAGAAGTGAAGACAGACCCGGATGCGAAAGGGCCTAGGGAGGGGAAGAAATTCCACAGTACGTATCAGTACATACCAAGCGACCTTGGAGCCTTGGAGGAGGAGGAGCAAAGGCGGTCGCAAGGGCGGGCAAGCTGGAGACGGAGACGGATCAGGCAGGGGATGATGGATGATGGATGGGTGGATGGTGAATGGTGGATGGAGAATGGAGATGGATGGGGATGGACGGCTGGCGCACTGTTCCACTCTAACGAGGTGGGATGCGACATGCAGGCAGTTGCAGGTTGAATATTATAGTGAAGGCATTTCAGTAAGTAGGTAGATATCTTGTTTGTCTCTAAGGCTTTTCGTGATTTTTGAGAATTCTTTTCTGATAATTCTTCTTGTCACGCAGCGTAACTGACTGGCAGCAAGAATACTCTCAACATGTCTGTCTCTCACTCTCACGACAAACCACGTCCACGCCCTCCATCACTACGAATTACAGGCAGGTGTTAATGGCCAACCAGCAACAGCGCACAGGGGCAATCGATGGGCCAGGGGGCGTGTCGATGCACCAATCTGGAGCAACCAGGGGGTCGACGAGTTTTGGGTTTACATAGGTTAGTTGGGTTTGGTTTGGGACTAGTTCAGACTAGTTCAGTTGAGAGCGCACAGTTGTCAGTTGAGGCCGGGCGCTGCTGCTGGCATTGGTCAGCACAGCTTCACAGCTTCTCGGGGAGGGGCGTAGGGGGCGTAGGGGCGTGAGTGGTGGTGACAAGCAGTGCTGTGGAGGGGGGGCAGGGGGTGTCTCTGCACATGTCTGCTTTTGAAAATCAATTTTTCAACATGTGTGCGGACGGATAAGAATGCTAAGTATTGGGACACTGCAGAAAGAGAGAGAATATCTCACAACAAGAACAGGGTCTAACTACGCTGTGCGAGCCCTCAGGGAGCGGGAGGGCAAAGCCAAGTCAGGGCTCAAGATGCGCTGGGAGGCTGCGCCAAGCTTCCACCGTCACCTGCCTCGGTGGGGATTGGCCGCGCTGTTTGCTCTGCACTTTTGCCTGTATTTTACGCTTGTCGGGGAGGGGTCTCGCCGGTCTCGCCGCTGAGGCGTCTAAAGCGCACACCTGGTTGGCTGCCTGGGCTGTTCACGTCCCTTCGGTTGGTGCTAGAACCGCCCAAGCCCAAACCGCTAGCTAAGCAGGGGGCGGGGCTGCTGTGAAGAAATGAAGTGCAGGTAGAAAAACGTCGAGATATGGACATGGTTGGTTATCAATTCAGTTCGCATGGGTGTGGATAACTACCTACCTACCTACGGAGTAGTGTGTTTGTTTGTGCGTGTGTGTGTGTGTGTGTGTGTGTGTGTGTGTGTGTGTGTGTGTCGCCGTCGGACAACGCCCATACGAACTA